CAGTTTATGTTGTGGCCATAAATGAATAACACCTTCCAAAGTGCTGTGTTCCATTACAGCCGCTGGTTCTACAGCTGATTTTTGTTTTATTCTATTGTATATAAATAAGGGTCATTGTCAAAGTCTTTCATTTGTGTCGGTGTACTGGCACTAAAATTTGTAAAATAAATGAAACATAAATTCATAAATTAAATCCGCGTTCTGTCTATATTAACTCTGTCTCAGTCCTGCTATTTCATAGGCAAAGTTCATTTGAGCTAAATGTTTAATTACGGTATTGAAAAAAAACAATGCTTATGCATTATAAAGTAATATAATGTAAAGGAAATGGCGCTGAGGTTCACTTCGTTTGAACCAGATACTGAAGCAGTCACGTGGTTTTCAGATGAATGAAGCTTCAAACGTCATAGATCACGTGCTTTTGGCAAAACGAATCAAGCTCCGATACAGTGCTTTGATGTGAAATGTGTTGTATTTTTGACAGAAGCTTCGGAGCTTCAGTGTCGAGCATAACATCACTACACCCTAGCAACAATCCCTAGCTTCATAGCAACCACCCAGCACTCTCTAGCAATATATAACTAGCACTATAGAAACCACCTAGCTACTGCTCTAGCAACCATCCAGCACTCAGTAGCAACTGAATAACAACGCCTTGGCAACCACCCAGATCTTACTAGCAACTGCATCACATACCAAGCAGCCACCTAGCAAGAAACCATCAGCATAGCAACAAGTTAAAAATCATTCAGAATAGCCTAGTAACCACTTAGCAATGTTCTGGAAACCATCAACAACATCGTAGCATCACAACATCAAAACAAGTTATATACAGGCAGCACCACTCACATTTTTCTGATACTATGAATTTTTTTTCTCCCTATAGACAATTCCACAATGCAGCCAGCCTGTTGCTCTGTATTGATTTTGATCTTACTTCATCTGAGCAAACGGTAGCATTAGCAATGCAATTTATGATAAATCTGTCATGTTTCAGTGCTACTCGTTTGGATTCTGTGTGCGTGTTTGTGTGCGTTAGAATGACAGATTCCCATCAGCATCAGCATGTGTCGCTATAAATAGAAGAAGCATAATGCAGTTTAGTCAGAGTGTGTAAATGGGAAGCTGTGTGTGTGTCGTTCCCTTCAGGGTCTGTTGAATGTGTGGGCAGACAGCAGACCACGTTACAATCCGCTGTGATGGCTACGTCGAGCGTCTCTATGTATGCACACATCATTTCTTTTCTGCCACTTGTTTCTCAGGGAAGGAGAGCAAGAGCAGCTGTTTGTATTTTGTAAATTGTAAGTCTTTATAGCAGAATTCATTAATGGTATCTAAAACAAAATCTCAATCTTATGGAAATTCATATCTATTTTAAATAGTATAGTAAATTTGAATTAAAATATCAAACTAAACCGCTTCCTGTTGGTCAGTGAGGCGAATCTATGTGACAAACTTGAACATGTTGCAAAATCTGTGAGGGGCGAACTTCTACCCTCATGCAAAACTCCCAGTCGCCTGGATTTAACCCATGAAAATTTGCCAAACAACGGAAAATGTGACTGCACCTTACGTCTCTTTCTTCAGATATGTTTGTCCTGGTAAAAAGACTCCAGTAGCTCTACCTCAGCCACTATTTTATTCTGTAGGCTTGAAAAACAACAAACAAACAAATAAAAAACGACCTATAATTTTTGTTTGCACTTTAAATAACTTCTGACATTATTGCAGTATTAAGAAAGAACAGTACAAAATATTCTGAGGACACATTTTCATTGTATCATGTTTGCCTTCAGTGGTGTGATATCTGGAGGACTCTGGGAAGAGTTTCTTATTAATAGTCTTGGAATTTAGTCTAGAGGTGATTTGTTTGTTTAATGAATGAGGCTTTGCACTTGACTTCTGGGAACAAGGAGCCTTTCAGTGTCAGTTTGGACAGTCTGAGAGGAAATTTTCAAGCACAGTTAGTGAGTGATTAAATGATGGTGACAAAACTGAAAAAATAAATAAATACATAAATAAATAAATGTGCTAACAAAATGCACTAATATAAAAGCTAGACGCTAATTTAAGAAAAGATCAGAACGTAATATACACACAACAAAATGGTTCTTCAGGGGTTCTTAAGTGGTTCTTTGGGGTGGTTGAGGTGCTATATAGCACTACTGCCATACAAAGAACCCATTAAACCCCTGCTTAATTCTTTAAAGGTTCTCTAACTCTCTATTAGTATCTTAGTTAAGTTGGGGAAAGGATTAAAAAACGACATTAAAATACAGTGTATTTCGTGGTTCTTAAACGTTTTGCCCCAATGGCCCCCTAAAAGGAAATATCCAAGGGCCCCCACACAAGACTTTTTGACCTCAGAAAAGATAAAAGTCATTCAAAACAGCTTTTGCCATTTTAGTAAATTCCCATTCATAGCAAACATTTGAGAGTGGAGTAACATATCTAAAATCTAAGGAGGAGAATGGGGTTCCTCTCATGGTTCTACGTAACACAATTTGACAAAGGTGCGGTATGACATCTTTTAAAAATAGGTGCCATATAGCACTTGAAGTGGTTCCCCTATGATTACGAGCCAATAAACCACTTTAAGTGCTATTTAGCACCATTTTTTAAGAGTGATTTGTTTTAAGCATTTGCCACTGTACTGTACTGTAACACATTTTTTTTGGATTATTGGGTATAAAATAACAATCCTTCTTCTATTTTGTCAGTAGCTGCTTGATTTGAGTCCATTTGTATGAATAAATGGACCTCTGTCTGGGAGCATTCGCATCCATTTCCAGGAATACAATAGACCATGAAGGTCAAGGAGTCAGAATTCTGAAGACCATACCAAGCATAAATGAGATCATGAATCATGGCAAGAATATGAGAACATTCGTAAGGCTTAAATACATCTGAAGGTAAAGAGAGGTTTATTTATGAGAAGATGATGTGGAAAAACTGAACAGCCACCAAAACCCCATGTCTGGAACAACGAATTATTAGTTCGAGTTCGGGAGAAGATTCTGAGATAAGAGTGTATTTGTTATTTGAAGAGCTTTTGGGCTGCAGTTTGGCAGATTCTTAACACAGCACAGAACATTACGCTAGAGTTAACAAGGATGGTGGCAGCTTCACACTTTGGGGATGGACCTCTGTGGCAGGGTCTTGGAAATTTCCAGGAAAGAAGGAAAAAATGGATAGTGCTAAGTATGGGAATCTCCTGAGGCGAAGACCTGCTGCATGTATGCAAGAGGATGGGGGCTTAGAGTTCAGTTCATCCGCCCACAGGACAATTATCTCAAACCTACTGGAACATGCAAAAGAACCATGGTAATGGCTTAAAACCACAAATATAGATGTCCTGAAGTGTTTCACTTAAAGCCCAGATGTCACTCCAGATAACTATTTGTGGGTTCAGAACAGTCTTGATGGAGCCAGAACAGTTTTGGCAAGAAAAATGGTTGCCCACTGTCACGAATGGTTACTCAAGATAGTATTTGACGAAGTGTATTCGCAGATAATTTAACTTCCATTATGTGACAAATCTGAATCAGAAAGCTACTTTTTAGGCTACTTTTCAAGTCATTTCAGAGATGAAGAAACCAAACACTTTTTTTCTGTAGAATAAAATGCTGAAGAATCTTGTGGAAGAATCAATTAAATGTGCACAATATACTCTGTCGGTACTGCATTAAAGTCAGTTAGTTTGCACCTCTGCCAAGAGCATCTCAACCCTGATGAGTTTCCCACCTTCCAGAAGCTCCCTCAAGGGTGTAGACTTGTTCCCTAGAGAAATAGCAAATCTCAATTTCATCACTTCTGGTTGTGTACGTGTGTGTATTTGAGTTTGGAAGCAGGCTAGTTGTGTGTGTGTGTGTGTGTGTGTATGTGTGTGTGTTTGTGTGTGTGTGTGTGTGTATATGTGTGTGCCAGACTGTCAGGGTTAAGCCTGCGTAAATATATGTTTTTGTTCCACTCTGGGGCCATGCAGTATTTATGAATGTGAAGACGTATAGCTGAATAGAACATTACAGTCCCTTTTGGGACTTCTTATGTAACATATTCACCTCATTCATACACTTAAATCATTCAGACACATATACTGTATGTGACCCTGGACCACAAAACCAGTCTTAAGTCGCTGGGGTATATTTTTAGCAAT